AGAAAGAAAGAAAGAAAGAAAGAAAGAAAGAAAGAAAGAAAGAAAGAGAGAAAGAGAGAAAGATGGATGCGGTGCTGTTCTCAGAGGAGAGCCACCGGGTACTGCTGTGCTCTCCCCACCAGCAGTCTGCTAGGTCGGTAAACTCAGCCTCCAGCCCCGTGTCCCTGAGGGCATGCCGTGTTATTCTGCACCTCTCAGGCTTCCGAGCTTCTTCCCTGTAGACCAGCATCTAAGAGAATGATCTCCAAGCACCCTTGGCTCCAGCTGTCTCCTCCAGCACCGCCCCCCCTCCACTTTCTGTGAGCTGCTTATTGACTGTGATGGGCCAAGACACAGAAGCTGTGGCTCGGATCACCAACAGCACAACAGAAATGACACCAGCTCACACTCTGCACACAGCAAGGCCTTTGAACAGAACATACTTGGGTCTGAACCCTGCTGTCACCGCCCACTGGGGTTGCAGTTGAGTTATAATACAGCCTCAGTGTTGTGTTCCCAAGCTGCACTTTCGGAGTCTCTGTGAGACCGGAGAAGGTGAGGGGTAAAGCTGACAGTACTATGGCCAGCCGTCCTGTTGAGGCCAACCCCCATCATTCACATCTGTGCTCGGCCAGCTCTCTCACTGCTCTCTGCCTGTTGGTCCCTTCCTGCTCTCTTCTCTCTTCTCCACCTGCTGGAAGGACATTCCTGCTTGGCTCTGCTCACTGTCTGTAGTTTGGCCTCAGGATTCATGTTCTTTGAGGCCAGTTCCCCACCAGCCCTCATACCCTGTGTGCCTGTGGTACACACTCATTCGCTCAGTAAACTCTGTGTGCTTCTGTGACCAATTTGTAAGTTCTTCTGCCTGCTGACCGCTATACCTTGCCCTGTCTTCTGCATTCCTGGGCCAGTGAAGACTGTCCTGTGTTACCTGGTTTCACCTGCATGTTTAGTGGGTGACCGTGTGGGTGTTTAGCGCCTGTCTGAGTCGCTCTTGTCTCCTCGGGGCCAGGCACACACTTTGTACCCTTTGGCTTAGTTTGCATTTGCTTGTGTGAAACATAAACAAAGACTGTTTTCCAGAAATCGAGTAGCTTTTGGGAAAGGCTAAGGATGAGGAAGTGAAGTGGCGTTTCCAGGGTTACCCTTTTTCCTCTTGTGTGGTTCTGAGGTGGTGGCAGGAGGCCTGGCCTTGAACCTTGAGAGGTTCAGAAGTTGAGGAAAAATACAACCTAGACCCCAGTTTCCTCATGAAGCCCTTTCACTCCTCTTGTCCACCAACCCAGAGCAAGGCTGGGAGTCCCATTGTTTTCATCCTAGGTCTGTGCTGGCTCCTCATCTGAACTCACAGTAGCCTCAGCAGATCGGAAGCTGACTCTCTACCCCCACCCCCAATTAAGGTCTGTCATTTCAGGGTCTGTTTGATTGTCTTTTCACTCTGGGAGCAGCATATACCAACCCTGATTAAGTTATTGTTAACTAGATAGCAGGCCAGGCTTGCTTGCTGCCTGCCAGTGTTGGGGGTTAGGAGGCTGGGTCAGAGGCATTCCTCTCTCACATTATGTCACAAGAGCTGTCATTTTGCTAGCTCGCCTCAGGTTAGTTCCACTCTAGCCATTTCCCAGGCTGTCCTACCTCTGCCCACCTGCATAGGTCCTGCGACACTGTCACCTTGGATGAGAATATTGTGACTTCCAACCTCAGTTGGGCCAAGGTGGAAGCTCCAACAGAGAGGCCCCACTGGCACTGATGGGAGACCCTCGCCCATGAGACTGCGGGTGCTGGTTCACCCTCTGGTAATGCTTCCCATTCTTGGTGGTGATGGTGTTCCTCTCTGTCCCATGTCTTGTCCTCTTGGGTAGAGTGTTGACAACATGGAAGCTCCTGTCTTCTCTGTTCTGTCTTCTGGTGGTGTGCCCAGTGCACGCGTGCGCTCTCTCTCTGTCTTTGTCTCTCTGTCTCTGTCTCTCTCTCTGGATATTTATAACTGGTTTGGTGTGCCTGTGGGTTTGATTGGCTATGACAGGAAGACGGGACAGGAGACCCTTTTGCTGTGAAGTCCCTTTTGCTGTGTAAAGTAGTTCAGTTGTCTCTTCGTTCACAGTTTAGCCTTCCTAGAGGGCCAAAGCTTCTAGCACGGAGTTATCTTCCCAGGGAGCTTTGCTGTTCTAGAGGCTGGACAGCGTACCCCAGGAGGGATGCTACAGAAAGCATCCTGAGGAATGCACGGGGTTCAGGAAGAGGAGGCATGCACTTTAATGTGTGAATCTCCAGGATGGTGGGCGTGGGTGCATGGCAACAAATGTGTGGGTGGCATCGAAGACTCTGGTGATGCAGCTTGCATTCTAGAGCACCACGCGTCCACACTAAGGCCAGCTATGGAGTCTAGCATTGCAGTGATGGAAGGATTTTTTTCTTTTTTCCTTTTTTTAATTGAAAATATTTTTTTTATACAATCTATTCTGATCATGGTTTCCCTTCATCTCCTCCTGGGCCTTCCCACCTCCCCACATATCCAAATCCATGCTGTCTTTCTCTCTCTCTAGAAAACAAACAGACAAAAATAAGACCAAAATTAAAAACCAAAACAAGTAAAAGTCACAAGAAGCACCCATACAGTTAGACACATACACATGAACAAACCCCTTGAAAATACAAAGATGGAAACGGCAACATACAAGCAAGAGGCTGGAAAGATAAACTCATATCCAAGCAAAGCAGTATGAGGGACCTCCCCCCATTTACCAAAACACCATTGAGTTCATTTGAGTTGGCTATCCCCTGCTGAGTGTGGGACATGCCTCTAAGTGTGGCTAAGTACCTGCTGAGACTCTATTGCAGAAAATGGATTTATCCTTTGTAAGCAGCTGGAAAGAGCATCTGGGTTAGAGATGGGAGCTTGTGTCCACTTCCCCATCTCAGCACCAGGACTCTGTCTGGCTCTGACCTGTCCAGGCCCCCTCAGTGCTGCCCCAGTATCTGTGAGTTTATATGTACAGCAGGCTTGTGTCTGGAAGATGCTGTTTTCCTCATCCACGTGGCTCTTACAATCTCTCTGCCTCTTCCTCAGTGTTCTCCCGAGCCCTGAGGAGGGAGAGGTTTGAGGAAGGCATCCCCCACGGCTCTCAGCCTCTGCACACTGTTCCGTTGTGGGGTTCTGTATGACCTACCATCTCCTACAGGTATAAGCTCCCCCCATGGTGGCTGAGGGAGGCCCTGCTCTGAGGGCAAAGCAGTGTCACTAGGGGCCATTTATTACCGTGTTCCCTTTAGAGAACAATAGTGTTTCGTTTTATAGAAGAGCCTTTTAGAAAAGTTTCTATCTAAATGACTCAAGAAGGTGAAGTGTCCCTTGGAGAGAGAGATGAGAATGATAAGAGCTGCTCAGGCCATAGCTCAGCAGCCAGCAAAGGCCTGTGGAGTGTTTTCTTCTTGGTAACCGTGCAGGCAGACATTGGTAATGATGCCCTCAGAATACTGAGCCAGCCAGGCTACTCTCACTGCTCTAGCAAGTCTCAGGACTGTGACTCCCTTCGAGGTTGTCTGTCTTAAATTCCCACCAAGACTCTGCAGCTAAGACTGCCCTTGCCGAGCCAGTGTTCTTCCCAGTCCTCCTGGGACCTCGGGTCCTCGGTGGGGTGTTGCTGGGTGTGCGGAGAAGCAGTCACTGACCTCTCTCACTCTCCTGTGTTTGCGTCCAGCCCTGGAGCAGCTGCTGACTGAGCTGGACGACTTCCTCAAGGTCCTAGACCAGGAGAACCTGAGCAGCACTGCCACGGTGAAGAAGGGCGGGCTGGCCGAGCTCTTGAGGATCTACACCAAGAACAGCGGTAAGTGTGGACCAGGCCTCGGCTGCCCGCAGACAGCTTTCCTCAGGCTGTCAGCACAGCTCCACAGGGCTTTCATAGCACACGTCCATCTTCTCACACTTCTGGAAGCCAGCTACCTGAGAGCAAGAAGCCAGCAGGGCCGGCTCTTTCTGAGGATTTTTCTCAGGGTGTTTCCTCACAGCCACCTGTGTATGTGAGACGTCCTAATCGTCTTGTGAGGATTCTATCCGTGTTGGCCTAGAGACCACCCTGATGACATCAGTTTTAAGTTCCACGCCCGAATGAAAATGTTGAGACCCAGTTAATCTATGAAGTGGGGTTGGGGCACAGGCTGGCTCCTGACAGTGGTAGCCTGGATGGGCTGGGAACCTTCTAAATACTCCACATATCAGCTGGCAGGTGGGATTTTGAGAGCCCTCTCCCTATCAGTTAAAAGAGAAGATACTGGAGGTTGTTGAGAACGCCTAGGAATACCTGGGGCTCCCTGTGCACAGCCCAGGGACTGCACTTGTAGGAACTCATTTCTTTAAGATAACCCTATGCAGTTGGTGCTGTTCCCACACCCCGTGGAGTTTAAATACTAATGTTATGTAGTCTGAGGGGAGAAGAAAATATACCTTTGAGATTGCAAATTACAGAATTGTGAGTTCATAATTTTTCTACCTTTTTTTTTGGTGAATTGCACATTTATGGTCTATGCACTTTATTGTGTGTGAATTCTACCACAAAGTTTTTTTGCTAATTGTATATGTGACCCCCTATCTAAAAACTAAACAAGATACCTCCATCATCCAGAAAATTCTGTCTCATGTGCTGGGAGGATGGCTCAGTCAGTGAACATTTCTGAACACGGCACACGTGTACGAAGGCCTGAGTTTGCTCCCAGCACCCATAAAGCCGACACTGTAGCAGGTACCTGTGTTCCCATGAGAAGTGGAGATGGGCAGCACTCCAGTGGGTGCTGGCCAGAAAACTAGGTGGAGAAGCACCTGAGAAAGCCAGCCAGTACCAACCTCTGGTTGCCACATGTGTCTGCCCAGTTGAGCCCACTCCCACAAACAGGGACATTCAACAAAAGGGAGAGAGCAACTGCAGACCAAGAGTTCTGGTGGACCTGTGGTCCCCACAGGCGTGTGCACATACACAGGTGTTTTTCTTCAATTCTTGCTCTGTTTTCTCTAAGCTCCTTCCCATCTCCACTCCACTAGACCTTGCTCTGGTTTCTCTCACCTAAGTGGTACCTGTCCTGGCATGATGCGTGAGTGCCTGGGACTGTGTGTACTGTGACTTCACAAGCAGACTTACTGTGGACATGCCTGTGACTTGTTCCTTTCAGCACTGGCGGATTCTACCCTAATTTACTTGTTGCTGTCTGTCTGGAATGTTTGTGTGTTTCAGCTGCAAAGCCGAATGGCCTCTGTGAATACTCCTGTATAATTCTTTCACACAGATGGCTTCATTTCTACAAATTCAGAATTGCTTTTAGAGTTAAAGCCTTGTGAAATCCTGAGAGCTAAATGTAGTTGGTTTTTATGTTGGGTGTGTGGGGATAGTAAGGGCCGTCAGAGGATCAGGTCCACCTGCCTCTTGGCAGGAGCCGTCACCATCCTGCCAGGGAAGGGACATGTTCAGCTGCTCTAAATGTTGCAGTCTGGGTTGCTCCCTGACTAACCTGTTTGGAAGCACCCTTCCCTTTATGCTCAAGAGAAAGTATGCTCTCCTGCAGGGCGCAGATATGGTAGGTTGAAGTGTGTTTCTGGATTCCTGCAGCCCTTCCCTCCTGGATGACATCCTGGGAAGCCACTCTCCCTCACCAAGGGCTTGCCTCCCCCTCTCCAGGTCACCGCACTGTTCCCAGGCTCCTCCTGCCAGACTGCACATCAAAGCGCTGGTGGGAAGCAGAGGGGAATCCACAATACAAAGAGGGAAGGCGGGAGGAGAGTGAGTCACCTCACAGAGGGCGCATTGATAGAACCCTTCAGACAGCAGGGCCCCAACCTTGTAGAGATGTGACACTAACATCATTAGAGAGACCACCCCTGTGCATCTGTCTGACCTGTGGCTCTTGATGCCAGGGTACTGACAATACCTTCTACTTCCTGTCCCTTTGGGCTTTCAATGCCGCACAGTTCCCTGTAAGGTGGGCTCTGCAGCAGGTCAATGGTGTGGAGATGTGGAGGTCAGTTATCCCCAGGGTGAATGTCTCCATAGAGTCCCCAAGCCCACTGATGAATGTGTTCAGCCATATTGAGGCTTGTGACCACTACTTGATACTCTCAGGCGTGACACCCATGTATCTGTGGCCACTATACGTATCTGAGCACTTTCCCTTCTGGGCCTCCTCACACTGCCTAGACTACAAAAAGTTCACACAGATGGCACCAACTGAGCCCTGGGCCAACATGTGATGCGTACAGTGACCCAGATCGTGCCCTTCATCCTTGTCTCCTATTTGTGCAGGAGTTGGTGGTAGAGCATTTACCAGTGAGGGAAGCAGGGCTGGCAGGTCACTGGCCCAGAGGCAAGTGTAAGAAGTGGAGCTAGGGCAGGCAGCCTAACCACCGCACTCCCTCCGAGCTCCCGTGCTGTCATACTGGATTAAATGTGCCATCCAGGACTGAATCCTATGATGCTCCCGTTCTAGCATCTGCCTTTCTCTTGGCCTCCCTGCCTCACTGTGTCTCTCTGCAGACTCAGCTCACTCTCCGGCCTTGAAGGGGAGATGGTCTGCTCACTGGAAGGTAGATTGTGGTCCTCACATGTGGGGTGGAGTGTGAGAAGCTGTGTTCCACACTTGTGCACACCCATGTGAGTGCTTTCATGATTTTCAAGTGGAATCATGTCTCTGGGTCTTCTGAGCTTTTCTTTGTTAGTCTATAGCCCCCTCTGTTTTGGCTGATGGCACAGGCTGAACACTCTTCTGTCAGGGACTCCGCAGGCTGTCACGCCACACCTTTGCCAGTGAGAAACGTGCCCCCTGTTTCCATGTTCAAGGTTCCCCGAGGCTCCAGTCATTGCCTGTCTGGTGTCAGGCGCTTCACGTCTCTGCCCACGCAGCCGTAGCCGGAATGTTCAGCCTCTCCTCCCTACCTCGCCCCAGTTCTCTGAGAAGTGCCACTCTCTGCAGGTGGCAGTCCCCTTGCCCCTGTTGGTATGCATTTCAGTCATGTGTTTGCAATAAAACCAAAGGCTTCAGGTAGTATTTCAGTGAACCTCAAGTAAAATCTGTTCCTGTCCTGGAACTTAACCATAAGACAGAGTTCTAGCTGTGGGGGTGCCAGAGCAAAGGAGGTGGTGATGTAAGATTGTCCTCCAAAGTCAACTGCAATGATGGCTGATTTAGCCTCTCTGGCTCCACTTGTTTTCTCACAATGGTGGGGAAGCATCCTGAATTTGAGATGGTGTGATTTACTTTACCATTTCCTTCTGTTTGACATTTGTGTTACATCCCTCTAATCTCTTTTAGCCATAAGCTGATTTTACTTTTCTCATATTTCCTAATAATTTAGGAAGTTTTGTTTGGTCAAAACAGTCAGGCTTTCACCTTGCTTGCTTCTACCTGAGCAGATAGGACAACTGAGGCACAGAGCTTAGGTGCTCTTTCCAGAAGTTGCTGCTCATAGCGGAGCATGCAGAACTGTCTCTCACCACTCCCCAGCTGGTCCCTGAGCCAGTCAACCCCTGTCACTTGAGCTGGCATGTCTGGGATGGAGCAATGTTACTTACTGGTCCTGCCATGGCTGAACACTGAGCTGGTGCTGCTGTGGCCGATGGCTCTGAGCCCAGCCAGCCTCCTCAGCACCCTCAGCTTCTCAAGCTTCTTTTCCAGCCCTGGGCTGGAGTAAGAAGTCTCTGGCCATGGAAGAGATTGGCTTTGAATTGGATTCTTTGGCAGAGGTATTATGCATTGGATCTGTTGGCTCGGGAACACTGTCCAACCACGGGGATTTACCAGCTATGTGTTGCTAGGAAATGCAAATTAAGGGCCCCAGAGGGACCATCAAAAGGTTCAAAGGAGGAGAAATTATGGAAGCTTCCTCAGCAGCCTCCAAGGATGCATGTACAGAGGCTGAAAAGCAGGCATGCGGCAGGAGGCTGGCTCCTCTCTGCTGGCAGGCACCAACCAGAACGGTGGCCTGACAGATACACCAAATTTTACAAAGGGCGTGGGTCATATTACTGCAAGTTTCAGTCTACAGCAGGGAGGAAAGGGCGATGCTCCTCACTTCTATACCTAGCCTTCTCGCCCCTGAATGATTTGCTCCTTCAGCTGCTCCTCTTCCGCCAGCCTGAGCCATGTCCAACCTGGGCTTTGGGAGCTAAATTTCCAGGCCCTTAGTGTAGTCTACTTTAATCTAGACACTTCTGATTTTACTCCATTGTGATGATCATACTAGGATGGGAAAGGCAGATGGGAAATATTCGCAATGCCAAGGGAGTGCGGGGACCTCTTCAGTTGTGGGTGTGCTGTAGCTCTTTCAGCGATGGGTGCCCTTTGTTTACCCATTCCGGTCCTGAGGCTGTTCTTCCGTGGCCTCCCCACCTCTGTCCGCACCCCAGGGTAAGAAACCAGCAGTCAACCTGGTGTCCTCTCTGACTTGAAGGCTGCCACCTGTGTCCAGGATTGACTCCTATTCAGCCTGAAATCCCAAGGTTCCTTTTCCATAATTTCTTACCTTCCATAATCACGTCACACTTATCAGAGGTTTGCCTATATGCGTATAAAACATGTAAAACATGTAAGGCTGGAAGGGGGCTGGAGATTCCTGGGGCCGCAGTCCCAGGCAGTTGACAGTCCCCTGGTGCGTGCTGAGGACTGAACCCAGGTCCTCCGCAGACACTGCAAGTGCCCCTGACCACTGAGCCGTCTCACCAGGCCTGTGCCACATGCCCTCCCTGGACCCCCAGTGTGTGAAAATGTCCTGGGTGGATATTGTCTCTTTCTGGGGGCAAAACAAAATCATATGAAGCCACCATGTCTTTCCTGTCTCTCTCCTTCTACAGGTTCTGATGAGGAATATATTTACATGAACAAAGTGTCAGTTAACAGGGACCAGAACCCAGCCTCTCCAGACAAAGGTATGGGGCCTTCTGGGCTGCCGGGCTGCCTGCTTCAGGCAGAGAAGTCAAAGCCACCCCGTCCCTCTCAATCCTCCCAGCCAATTCACAGACAGGCCCAGGGGTTATTTTTGGAATCCACATTTTGGTTAATGGTATTTTGGGTTTATATATTTTTGGATATTTCAGTGGGGCCACCACCTTCTTGCTTATTGGATGAGGAATCTGTCCTGAAACTCTCTTGGCTTTTCCCAGCATCACTGCAGGAAGAGGAAGTCATAATTCAGACATTCTCAGAGAGCAGCCGAGTGTGGCCCTGATCCCACGGTTCCAGCCCTGCCACTTTGGGTGAAAGTCTGCTCGGGAGGAGGGAGGAGAAATGGTGGTGTCAGCATCTGTAAGGTGCTGAAGTTCATGGCACTCTGAGGCAGCATGTGCTCTCTCCGGGAAGGACACTGGGCCTTGTTTCTGGCACCTTGCCCTCTGCCTAAAGCCCTTTCTCTTAGAACCTCTGGTGCATGCCTGGCCCAGAACATTGCAGAGCGTTCAGCACTGGGGGGCCTCAAGAATTCTAATTCTCAGACAGACTTAGAGAGGGGTGGAAAGAGGGTCCCTGAAGCCTCAGCCAAGTCCTGAGAAAGGGTTGCCTTTGAGACACCAGCCAGCCCGAGCTGCCTGGCGGGGCTGGTTGGACTGGAGAGACTTCTTTGCTGCGGTGTCTGTCTACACCTCTTCCCCACCCTCCCCCAGCACCAAGGAACGGAGAAGCTCCTGCAGGGCCAGTGGCCACTCTGCCCAGGGTCACTTGCCTTCTGGGTAAATGGTGGGAGGAAGCCATAATCACCAGGTCGAGCTTTGTGTGCCTCAATATAGCGACTGCCAGTCAGCTGCGCTCCCTGAAGCCCTGTGGCTGGGCCATTTTTGAAAATGGGGCAGGTAGGGGAGGGGGGCAGAGCCTTCCAGAAACCCCATGCCGGTTACTTCTGAGGAATCTGTGTGAGGCTGGCCATTGCTGGGTCCTATTCTTGGAGGGAAAAACAACGTTGGCTCTAGGGATTGCCTGCCTGGGTAATTAACACCTGCTCAAAAAGGACACGCAGGACAGGGACAGGATGAGCGAGCGGACATTCCTGGGTAATGAGAACCTGCCGCCCCCCACCAAACCCTTCTCCTCTTGCTGCCCACAGTGCCCGAGGATCAGGGTCCTCTGACCAATGGGGAGCCCAGCCAGCACTCTTCAGCACCTCAGAAGAGCCTTCCAGACCTCCCTCCACCCAAGATGGTGAGTGTCGGGCAGGACCCTCGATTCACCGCCCACCTGGGACTCTCAGAGTTTGCAGTTGTCCTCATGGCCATCTGCCAGTGTGCCAGGCCCTGGCATGTTCTGAGCATATCATGTGTGCAGGACACAGCAGGAGGCAGCCAGGGCACTCCAGGCGCTGAGGGCAGGGCACTGGGGGCACAGTCTCAAGTGCTGCTGTCCATGAGCAGTTCTGGTCAGTAGTCCATGAGTCTGTGACCTTCCAAAAGAATGCGGTGGCTCAGGCCTCTAATCCCAGCACTTAGAAGGCTGAGGCAGGAGGACCACCTCGAGTTCAAGCCTGGCTTGGGCTACATGGCAAGTTCCAGGTCAGAATGGCCTAAAAGTGAGACTTTGCCTCAAATATACAGAACAGAAAAGGGACGTTGCGCCACACTGCAGCTCAGAGCCTCCCTGCTCCCAACATGGCCACCAGGCTGCCCCTCCCACCCAGCAGCAGCCGGTGCAGCTGTCTCATGCTGGCTTTCTGCTCAGCACCCCTCCGCCCCTGGGGTTGGTTCTGCCTCAGGGACTTTGCTTCCTGGGCTCCTGGCTTGTCTGTGACTGCCAGCTCCTCTTCTCTCAGAAGCTCTTGGTGTTGCCTGGCCAGGATGAAGGAGCCATTGTCCCACCCTGCCTCAGCCACACTGTTGCCCATCCGTGGTCCTTGTCACTGCTGACATAGTTGTTTTAATATTTATCTCTGTCATCAGACATGAGCTCCACAGGACAAGCATAGCAGCCGTTCCCTGCCACTTTATACCTAGTGTCTGTGCCAGTTCAGCCACATAGAAGTGGCTGCATGCTGGGATGAGTGAATGAATAGATGGGTGGATGGATGAATAGGAAGTTATGTGGCTGGATAGCTGTATGGATGGACACATAGGGGGGTGGTGGGCAGATGGGTGATGAGTGGTGAGTGATGAGTGATGAGTACATTATAGGTCATCCAGCCCCATGCTCTGGTCTCAGTCTGGCCAGCATTTTTAGCTCTTTGACCATAAGCAAGTTATTTCAAGTCACCAGCCTTTTGTTTTTGGTTTTGTTTGTTTGTTTATTTGTTTTGGTTTTTCAAGACAAGGTTTCTCTTTGTAGCTCTAGCTGACCTATTGTAGACCAGGCTGGCCTCAAACTCAGAGATCCACCTGCCTCCTGAGTGCTGGGGTTAAAGACTTGTGCCACCATACCCAGTTTCTTCCTTGGTGTTTAAGTGACAGTGATGTTGGCATCTGTCTGACCACAAGGCCACGCTTAACAGGCTAAGATTGTAAGCTGCACAGCACTGTATGTGCCACACGGAGGCGCCATTCGGTGAGATGAGACCATATTTACATTTTACGGTGTAGTGGGTTTCTATCGCTCTGATAAATGTTGTGATCAAAAGCAACTTAGGGAGGAAAGGGTTACTTCAGCTCACAGTTTCAGGCCCATTGCTGAGGAGAGTCAAGACAGCAACTTAAAGCAGGGACCTAGAGGCAGGCCCTGAAGGGAAGCCTTGGAGAGCGAGAGCGTTGCTCCCTGGCTTTCTCCCCTGATTTGCTCAGTAGGCTTTCCAACCTCATCTAGGACCGCCCGCCTGGGAGCCACACCCACGATGGCCCGGCCCTCCCACATCAATCACCAATCAAGAAACACCCTACATACATGACCTCGGGCCAGTCTTTCTTTTTTTAATAGAGATCACATATAGACGTATACTTCACAAAGAATGCTGAAGTCTAAAGCACCACAAATAAAAGTACTTCCAGTGGGTTTTGTTTGTTTGTTTACAGTTCAGTCTTATAAACATGTTTTCTCAATTGTGATTCCCTCTTCTTAGATAACTCTTGCTTGTGGCAGGTTAATTAACAAATAATAAAAGAAGAATAAAATCAAATTAAATCCAACCAGAACAATGTGAAGGAAGCCCATGTCCTAGTCTTAAAGTGACAGTGTCGGGACTTGATCAGGCTCTTTTCCCCAGAAGGAGGCTTCCTAGAAGAGGCCCAAGGCCACACATAAGAGGTTGGAGGAGGCTCAAGAAGGGTCTGAACCCCCAAATGGCTTGAACCAGCCTCCAGTTCAAGGTTCCCCAAAGACAGCTGGAACACACAAAAATGCCATGTGGGGCACACACGTAGTTCTTGAGTACCTAGGTCAGGGTCCCATGCTTGAAGTCCCCTGAGCTGGGCGACAGCTGGTGGGCTGATCCTTCCTCTCTTGGTGTCCGTGGGATGCTGTTGGTGGCTTCTTCCTCATTCCATGAAAATCTGATCCCCCACTGCCCATCAAGGGACAGGTGACTCTGTCACCACCCCAGCCCGATGTCAGGGAGACAGGATGTGAACACAGGATTCTTGCTGGTTCTGTTTAGCAGAGTAGGGGGCTGTAACCCTTTCAACTTCCCCTCCCTTCAGCTCACCCCAGAACTTTGGGGGTCTAGGAGAAACAGCTTCCTGGAGCCGTCACCACCAGCAATGGGTGTTTCTGGGTAGAGGAGAGCAACTGTGGTTCTCCAGTAAGTTCCCCCAGACACCGCGCTCTATGACTTTGCTGATGTGAAATGCCACTTGTCATACCAGGTGCTCCTGGGTCAATGCCTGGGGGGAAGGTTTATTCACTGGACAGAGTCCCTGGCACTGAGTTTTCACTGATTTAGAAATCTGTGCTTTAAACACAGTGTAGAGAGCAGGGCCTGGGCTTTGGTCACAGTTGTAAAGAATCCAGTCACAATGGACCCGGAAACCTGTGGGATTCACACCATTCCCCAGTGTGAAGACTTGGAGGGCCTCGTATGAGTGGAAGTGTGGGGAGAGGACGAGATAGACAGGGGCATTCTTCCTGGATTGTCTGTGGTGGGAGACAGCTCAGTGTGGGAAGGCTCAGGCCACAGCTGAGAGAAAGTTGGTGCTCAACTTGGAAAAAATACCACCGCTCAGAAAGAGCTCAGTCCCGGGGGCCTTCCAAGGCGTGGTCACTTTCCTGTGGACAGACTCCAGGCCTGGGGAATGTTCCAGCAGCACCAGCTGCTTTACAGTGCGGACCTCTCCCTCCACCATGGACTCCTTGCTAGAAGGCCTTCCAAGTTCTGTCCTGGGCTCCCACTTCCCTCCAGTACTTCCTGATGTGGCTCAAGGAAAGGGTGATCTCCACTCCACAGGCTTTGTCTTTCCTACCCACATATGTGTGTCTTAATGCTTGTGCCCCTCAGAACTTCCTGCTCCCTTTGCCCACAGCAGTGAAAGCCTTAGTCCACAGTTTCCAGTGGAGCAGGGTCAGGTGGAGGAAACCCAGTGGTCATCGCCGCCTCAGCTTCCCAGACAGGATACATGATAGTTCCAACCCAGGGCCTGGGCTTGCAATGACCCTTCCTCCTCAGACAGAGAGTCCCTCTTCCCTCTCCTGACTCCACAAGACCAGACTGCCATGGGGAAACCTTCACCCAAATGCGCCCACAGTGCCTTTGTCTGGACCGGGATATGGTCCCTGTGCTGGTGCACTATGCTTTTCAGCTCAGTCTCGACACATCCCTGGTGGCGAGGTCCTCACTGCAATCCCTGCAGAGTCAGAGAGCAGGTCCCTCCAGCAGTGGAGGGCATCCAGGGGTCTGCAGCAAACTCGTGGGTGTGGACAGTGACTCAGGCAGCTGAGGTCTTTCCAGGCTGCGGGCTGCACAGCCAGGTGCCTCGGTCACTGCAAGAGAAACAGATGTGTGCTGGCCACCGTACCATCTTGGCAGGCACACCATCTCTCCCCCACACCCCTCTGAGGCCTGAGCAGGACATTAGCGCTGCTCTCAAGGGGGCTTCCTGCTGGGGGATGCAGCTGACACCCAAGTGGCCTGCGTGGTCTGTGTGGGAAGTGGTCTACCCACCCACCCTGGCCCCAGGACTCCCCACCGCTTGTTGCCCAGGGAAGGTACGTGAGCTCCTCAGGCCATCTGGGACCATTGGGTCCTAGGCCTCATCTCGGGTTGCTACCCAAGAGCCCTCTGCCGTGGTCCACCCGCCAGCCCCTGCTTTGCACTTGGCTCCAGCTACCCCGCCTTAGCTCCTACGGCCTGTGGACACCCTCTACTCTGCAAGCCCAGGACTGAGCAGCTGAAGGAAGAGACCCAGGTGGCCACAGATTCCTAAAATGTTAGCTAGTTGGCTCTTTGGAGAACAAGTAGAAATGGAGCTTGGTAAATGCTGCAGCTCGAGGCGACTTCTTCCTTGTCTCCTCTGATGGGTTATTCCAGCGCTGAAATCAAAGCTGTCTCAATCAGGATTGCTCTTATAGTGATGAAGCACCATGACCAGGAAGCAAGGTGGGGAGGAAAGGGTTTACTTGGCTTACACTTCCACAGCACTATTAAGCACTGAAAGAAGCCAGGACAGAAACTCACAAAGGGCAGGAGCCTGGAGGCAGCTCTGAGGCAGAGGCTGTGGAGGGGGCTACCTATGGCTTTGCTCCTCATGGCTTGCTCATCCTGCTTTCTTCTAGAAGCCTGAGCCACAGCCCAGGGATGGCTCCACCCCCAGTGCACTGGGCTCTCCCATCAATCACTAATTAAGACAATGCCTCACCCTGGGTCTTATGGAGACAACTTCTCAGTTGAGGTTCCCTCCTCTACAGTCTCACAGAGCATTCCACTGTTGGGGTTTAGCTTGGCCCTGGAGCTGGGATTCTTCTCAGGATCCTAGGATGTCTCTGATGGTCCACTTACAGTAGGTTGTACTTTGGGGAGACACTCAGGAAATCCCCCTGGTACTCTGCCTTAAACAAGATGGCCTCCCTAGTCACGGACCCTGTGGGGATTCATGGTAACTCAGTGGCAGAAGACTTTGTTTTCCCATGTGTTCAGTTCTAATCAGCCCCTGATCCAGATTTGGGTACCTGCAGTGACCTCCTCTCTCTGAGAGGCCCCGAAATGGGGCTTCTGGGAGTCCGGGGCGAGGACCCTTTCTCTCAAACCCTCAGGAAGCGCTTGCCCTCACAGTTCTCGCAAAGACCGCCCTTCCTCTGCGGGCGAGCGATGGCAGACTTACCACACAGCAGGGGCTCTGTGCCAGGGCAGCCCACAAGCTCCGGGGTACTAGCCCAGTGGGTGCGAGACACCCAGGGGCCTTCTCCCCTCAGAGGCCGCCTCACCCAGTGCTGCTCTGACACCTCATGACCCTGCTCCCTCCTGGGTGTCTGTGGAAGGTGGGGGAGGAGCAGGGCCTGCCTCGTGCCTGCTGTGGCACCACTGGTGTGAAGCCAGGCACAGCACACTGGGAACAGGAGTTAGACCCAGGCTTGTGTAGGCCTGCTTCAGCTGACACGGGGAGAGTGCGGGGAGGGCCGCCTGTGCCCAGTGTTCTTTCCACACAGACTGCAGACCCTGGGCTGCAGGGACCCTGTGACAGCAAGTACAGTACCTCCTGTACTTCATGTGGGTCAGGCCCTGTGCAAACAAACCCTTCCTCGTATTTAATCTCTGTATTTGTGTGCGTGCATATGTGTGTGTGTATGAGTGTGTGAGTGTGTGAGAGTGTGTGTTTATGTATGTGTGAGTGGGAGTCTGTATGTGTGTTTGTGAGTGTGTGTGTGAGAGAGAGAGAGAATGGGAGCGTGTGGGTGAGAGCGTGTGTTTATGTATGTGTGAGTGGGAGTCTGTATGTGTGAGTGTGTGTGTGGGAGAGAGAATGGGCGCGTGGGTGAGAGCGTGTGTTTATGTATGTGTGAGTGGGAGTCTGTATGTGTGAGTGTGAGTGTGTGTGGGAGAGAGAATGGGCGCGTGTGTGGGTGAGAGCGTGTGTTTATGTATGTGTGAGTGTGTGTGTGTGTGGGAGAGAATGGGCGCGTGGGTGAGAGCGTGTACACACACGCAGAGGCTGGACGGACCTATCAGAGCAGGACAGCCGGCTCCTTGCACCAGTACCTGGACCCCAGCCTGCCCCTCCTGCTCGTGAAGCCTGTCAACCCCTGAGCCGGCTCTCCAGCCAAGTTGGGCTCATGTGCCCTGAACACAGCCCAGTGACGCTTTCTTAGAGGGAAAGGGGTCAGGGCTGGAGGCCATCCACCCCACAGCAGTCCCGGGGAGACCCTGTCAGCAGAGAGTCCCCATACCTTGCGCACGGAAGGCTAACCCCACTGCTCTGTCTGTCTGTGCTGCAGATTCCAGAGCAGAAGCAGCTGGTTGTGCCGAAGACCGAGGCTCCTGAGGGCTACTATGAAGAGGCTGAGCCATATGACGCGTCCATTAACGGTACGTGCCAGGCTGGGCCCAGAGGGCCTCAAGTGTGGTAGCCCACAGGCTGTGGCTGTCTCTGGTGACACACTCACCGAGTGCATTGGCAGACACAGTGACACGACACAGGAAGCAGCCTCAGCTGAGAACCGGCCACACAGCGTGCACCCCTTGTGGAAAGCGTCCAGGCCCCGCCTGCGGGATGATGGGGATGCCCAGAGAGGCCTCCTGTGTCCAAGGGTTCCAGGCGCTGTGGCTACACTGGGCATGGGAAGATGGTGTGGGAGAGCTGTACTGGCCCAGGGGGTGCGGCGAAGGCAGGGATAGGTGTGGAGGTCAGGAGGAGTGAGGGAAGTGCCCACAGTCTTCTCTGCATTCAGTCTCTCTGCTCACACTAGCAAGATGAGAGCTCTTGTGTTCAATGGCCAGCACAGACCACAGTTCTGTCACATTATGGTTTTGATTTCTGCTGTCATGGTAGCAAAGGAGAGAGCAGCTTGGCTTACTGTGGGAAGGCGGTTATTCTGACACAGCACTATGACCTCAGGCAGATGGCTGAAGCCAAGGGGCAGAGAGCAAGCAGGTAACTGCAGGGAGAGAATTCTGGGCAGAGAGCAAAAGGCTTCTTAAGTCAGAGAGCGCCCTGGTGTGTCTGACAAACAAGGAGGCCACTGTGCAGGCCAGGTGAGCTGGGAGTGACGAGTGGGATGCAGAAGCAGCCGCAGGCCACCGTGAGAACTTTGGTGTTTCTTTTGAACAAGCACGCAGGCTTTCTTTGCAGCTCAGTTCATGACTGGCCATGCTTAGGTTTTGCACACTTTGCAAATGGGCTGTGCAAGCTGAGCTGGCTGCTGGGATCCTACTCCTGTTGGCCAGGGTTCTCGGCCTGCAGAAGTTGGCCTTTCATCACCATCAGGAGATTTCTGAGATTTCTGTGATTGGTTTAGGTCCACAGTTTTGGAGGCTCAAGGCTGGCCATGCATACTGCTTTATGCTGTCTTGGGACCTGTCAGGGACAACAGGCAAAAACAGACTAAGGAGGGCTAGCGCCCCACGATCCCCCTTGAGGACATCTCACCTACGACCTCTCACAAGGCTCCTGCTCTTTCATTTGAGCTTTCTCCTTAAGAAAGTAATTTATTTTTATTTGTATGTGTTGCCTGTGCCCAGCGCCTGAGGAGGCCAGAAGAGGGCATCAGAGCCCTTGGAACTGGAGTTATAGGCAGTTGTGAGGAGCTGTGTGGCTGGCTAGAACCAAACCTGGGTCCTCTGTGGAAACAGCAAGAGTGCTTAGCTGCTGAACCCTCTCCAGCCCCAAAGACTCCTAATGGTGCAGAGTGTCTCTCCGTAACCCACACTGGGGAGAAGGCTGTGACAAGTGGCCCCAGGGCAGCTCCTCCTCACTCTTTCCTTTGTGAGAATGGTTTGTGATCACACAGCACTTTGCAAATGTCAAAGGTGAGGGTGGTCCTGGTGGTGGGGACGAACTTGGCACAGGCAGGGCCTTGAGAATTTATTTCTTAGACAACAGGACTAGAGTGAAACAGGACCTGGAGCTTGAGACTTGGCCTTTTCTCTTTCTTAATTACCTGTGGCTCCCAGGAGCTGTGTGGGAGGCTTGGGCTTGTTGGGACTGAGGCTATTATAAGTGGTTGGCATTGTGGGCAGATGAGCCTCACTTCAGCCCACTGGGCCAGTGAGGTGCTGGCGAGTCACAGCCAGGCTGTGATTTCAGACCCAAGCCAAACAGGGGTGTGCCAATGCTGTCTGGGAGCATCCTGAAGGTAGAAACAGTGACTCACCCAGGGAGCACCTTGGTGTATCCTGAGCCCATCTCCTGGCTTGGGTGTGGCTCCTACCAGCCACGACCTGTCTCCTAAACACACAGGGGGCAGATGGCTCCCCACTACACAAACAAGTGGCCAGAAACCCCCAGACTCTTAGTGTTGGTCTCTCCACTGCCTGTGCCGCCCTGCTGGCCGCCACCTGCTGGCCACCACCTGCTGGCCGCCACCTGC